CCTCAGGTGTTTTTATGTTGAGCCGAAGATTTTATTTTTTTCATGCTGCAGCCAGAATACCAGGTTGTAATGTAGTAGGTGATAGATTCAATGGCTGGCATGTTGAAGTTAATCGTTAACTGTTTTTAAATTTTTTCAAACAAGTCTGGAGTTTCTCCAGCCCGTTTATGACTCCCTCTGTACTTAACTGTAGTTTATCTATGTAAAGTCTTTGTGTTGTATAAACTCTGAGTATTTAGAGTTTCACACGTCTTCATCTGTTCACCATAAAGCTTAATGGGGAGATGAACATCAGGCCTCATTTTTTTTTTTTTTTTTTGAATTCAAGAAAATACTATTGATTTTATCCATTCTTTTTCAATTGTCATGTAGATGGTGATAATTTTGCCTTTCATGGTTTTGGTTATGTTGTGCTTTACTTTGCTCCTTGTTTTCTAGTTTTTTTGGTTTAATTCCTATTTTGTTGTAGTTTCTAGATTTATGTTAGTTCTCTGGTTTTTCTGTTTTCCTCTGTTGCCCTCTTGTGTGTGTTCCTTTCCTCTTGGCTCCCTCGTTGTCTCCTCACACCTGCTCCTTGTCAGCTCGTTAGCCCTGCCTTTGTCTGTGAGCTACATATACAGTACTCTCCCTCTGCAGTCACTCCTTGTTGGTTCCTTGTTGTTGCTGGTCCTGTCATCGCTGTTGTCGTCTCACCTCGTCTCTCCCTGGCTCCATGTACGTGTTTTCCCTTGATGTCTCCATGGTTCTGGTCTGTTACATTTTTAGTTGGATTTTTTGGATTCCTGCCTTTGTTAACCATTTTCATCAATAAAACTACAAGTATTCACCTCTGCCTCTGCATTTGGGTCCTCCAAACCACAACCAAACCCTGACACTTTCTTAATATGTGTTGCTAAACTTAAGACTCCCACTGAAACCCTGGTCAACAATCGCCATGTAACAATGAGCTTTTTCTACCTGTATATTTGTTGGTTAAAGATAACAGGTAAACACAGCATCTAGTTTTGCAGTTTGGTTTATGTTGGTTTGTTTTTAATGCAGTAGAATTTATTTGCCGAGTGGCTTCTTTGGTAGGTCTCATCTTGTTTTCTCTTTGTAAAAACGTAAGTTGAGTTCACGTTACAATATCGTATTAATTGTCAAACTCTTCCTAAAAGAGAAACTTGTATACTTAGGATGTAAAATGTGAAAGTTAAAGGGTTTAAATTGTTTTTTGTATTTTTTTGGCCAGTGGGAAAGGCCTATTGGTAATTCTAATGATTTTTGTTTAACCAATCCGATTAGAGAGAAAGCGGAGACTCAACACAGCACAGTCTCTGGTCTATCACTAAGAACATATATTTAAGATTTGAGGATTAACTTGTCATGGCTGGTTCAGTCTAAGGATGCAATTATGTAGAGGGGTGATATTAACAGTGAGTTTCTTGACAAGTGCTTGTCTATTTGGTACAGATGATGATCCAGCACTGGTTTGCCTTCTGGTACCCGCTACAAATGCTCCTTTTAAGTACATACTTCTATGCAACATCCATATGAGCAATATCAAAACGACATCCACTGCCTAAAAGAAGCATGGTATTAAACTACTGTATAATTTGTATGTCATGTAAACAGCCCTGTAAATTGTTCATATATCTGTTTACTTGACTTTAGTTTGCCTTAATACGCGTAACTATTTACTGAATATCTGTAGTAAGTAAGATTCGAAAACAAATTGAGAGTGAAGACATTGTTTAAATGGTAAACAATTAAAGCGCCAGAAGAATGTTAGCAATGATATTAAAAGTTAAGAAACCCTTGATCTAACTGAACTATAAAGACATTACAGGTGGCTAAAAGATATTGGTAAATTTTATGTCTACCTGACCATCAAATCTTCAAATATTAAAAAAAAACCCTACCCATTCAGACTGAAGGAGAAACTATTTTCATTCATTCACCCATACAAGTTCCAGTAAAACATCAATGAAAAACGATCCTGTTCCTACCAAATATGAACAATGAAAAATCATCAATTTGAAAATGTAATTATATAAATTAAAAAGCCAAATGAAAAACATAAAAACATTACTTTCTTTAAGTGGAACGTAAATTGAATCTGATCTTGAATAATCTTCTGGATTCCAGCAGCTTGACATATAACTGTTAGAGACCTCACTCTATATAAATCATTCAATCAATGTATTAATAATGCCATTTGTGGGTAGACTGTAAAGACTAAGCATTCCTGGCATTGCCATCACTACTATCAGTATTGGTAAATTCTCAGACATCAATTAACTTCTTTATGCTCCCACAGCTCTAATTCCTGCTTCACTACAATGCTTCCAGGGCGCTGTTTTAGAATGCAGGATAGGAAAAACTCAGAATAAGATCGGGGTAAATCCCTGCATATCCTAGATTTTTTGGTTTCAGAAAATTGGATAGCTGTTATTCAGAGTCAAGTTTACTGCAACATACTAAACTTATTAAGAGTGTGTCACACATTCAAGCTGAGACCTCATACAAGAAATGTTAGAAATTATGTGGCCTTTACTGGAGGATGCTGTGGAGGTTGGAGAGCAAATGCTAATTATGCACAACTCAATCAAATGTATTTTCATGTCTGTATTCAAAAATGTTTTAGCATTTTTCCAGCAAATACTTTATCTCATGAAAATTTCAGCCACCGGTTGTTCATATGACACAAAAAGGACAAATTCTTTCTTTCTGAATTCATTTTTAAACTGAAGGCAAACTGTCAAGGAAGTAGCATTAAACTCTAACCACACAGTGCAGATGCCCATTAGATCAGATCAAAGATCAGATCAATCACAATTTATCAGTGATGTCAGCTTTCTCTGCTGCGAGGAGAGGAGTGTCCCTGCTTGAAGTGCAGTACAGCACATGGGGGTTCTTATGCAGTCTATGATAGAAGCGATTACAAAGTCTTTTGTTTGCTTTAATTATTGATGGCTTTGTTCAGTTTTTTTTTCATGCAGCTTTGCAGACAGTCAACTCCAAAGAACATTTATAGAGTAATTTAAGTCATTATCATCCCACCTGCCACCCCAAACACACACACACACACACATACCCATATATTTCTGTTAAACACATGTAATGTTGAGGATAAAATTTGAGTTCTCTAAAGAAACTCACATATGCTTTGAGAAGTCTCTTCCATTCAAGTTTTGTCAGAACAGTATTACAGTTAGTGTTAAACATGTTTTGATAGTCTCCATATGCTGCCATTAATATTTTAAGTTCCACTGGTAAAAGAAAAATGTGCACTTCTAAGCTTCTAATTTCCTCTTTTTGGCAAGGTGGATTTTATGTTGTGTATTCAATTGAGGAGACCTTCTTATTATGCTTATGTTTATTCTGAAATTCATAAATGTGAGTACTTTGTCCCATATTGATACTGTGTTTAGTTTATTGTCAAGTACATAAACAAAATAAAATTATGAAGAATATTATCCTATTTAAGATCTGAATCTATTTTCCATGATCTAGAAGTACTTAAAGGTATAGTGGAGGATATTTGTAAATTTTTGAAAAGACCCACCCTCTCCACTGGAAAAAAAAATGCACAACCCTGCACCCTGTCCCGAGAGGGAATGCCTATTAAAAATTTGTGAGAGCGTGCACAAGCCCATTTCTCCTCATGCACGTTCTGTTTAAAAGTTGCTGTTTGCATTGCTCATACAAGCTTACTTTCCAAAAGAAGATTTGCTATTTTTCCACTATGTCAGACTCACCACCAGTAAATGAAATGGGGACGAGCACGTAGGACGGCCTTACGTAAACATATCACCAGGATGATTGACAATTAGGATGACCACCTATTTTGATGATCCACCCAGAAAAAGAACATCCTCCACTATACCTGTAAGGGTTACTGTAACAATGACATTGCTGATACACAATGGCGTAAGGACACAACAATAGGCCTGTAAGCAACATCATCTGGGTGGGCCCCATATGAAGTACAACATGTGATAAAGGTTCAGGATATGGCGACAGTTCCATAAATAGGCCAAGCAGATACAATTATGCAATTCTCAGTAGTATATGATCACACATTACACTCGGAAAAATAGTGACTGTGCACCTTGAATGGAACCAATGGTGACGGCGCACCACCACAGGTTACAGACATCCCAAGTTCCAACACCCCCCCTCCCTCTTTGGTTCTTTGAAAGAACATGTTTATTTTGGGAAGTTTTTTCCGTTCTCCCAGCAGCTCTTCTTTCCTTTTTCTTTTCTGGAATCCGATTAAGTACTTTTTGGTATCCATCATCGCTAACACATTGTACGTAAAGGTTATGGTTTTAATCTACGCTCTGGGTTACCCATAATTTCAAGTCGTAGTGTAAAAAATAAAGTACTCAAATACATTATATTGCGGTTTGAAACATATTATATGATTGTATTTTTTTTACCAACCGTCTAATAAACTATACAAAGTTATTAACATAGTAATTAAAAGTAACACTGTCTGCTTTGCTATTGGTGTCTACTTTGCTATTGGTGTTGTGTTTAAATGGCTCACCATCATGTTGAAATAAGGTCCGGTGCAGTCAGTCTCATCAGAATCAGGTGGGTTTAACAGGATTTTTTTGCACCGTTACATCTGTAAAGAGACGTCCTAGTCCGCAATTGCGTAGGGGGCCTACCAGGTGTTAGTGATGTGGCTCCTAAGAGGTTGTGGGGCCATAAGTAACTGCTTTTTCTGCTTACCCATATTTACGCCATAGCTGATAAATGTTGCTACCGTTAGGTACAAAATCAAAACTGCAAAAGTAAGAAGTGGCATGAAGATAAATTGATCGTATTTCACACTGGAGAAACTGGTCTTTAGCCTTGAAAACTCACAAAGATCTTAATCATATTTTACACATTTTGTTTAAAATTGAATTAATCTGGCAAAAATGTTTCACTCACACCTTAAAAGTTTTGTTGAATGTAGTTCAAAAGGGCTGAATTCAAAACCAAAAAGTACTTTAAAAAACACTTACATTATGACTTTGCTTCTTGGTTTGCTCCACTGGAATATTGATGTCTAGGAGTAAGTTGAATCGGCACAATGATTCAAGATTGGTCCACTCTGTGTCTGAAAAAGACAATAATAATAACAATATGATCATGCTATCTAACAGGTAAAAATCCTAATCAAACTTCCTAACACCCGGTTGTAATATTAGGATTCCTTCGTATAAAACTAATACACTCTATTATTATGAATTGATGTTTTTTTTAAGTAAAAATTGTTTATGTACAACAAAAAAGTGATAAAATGACTTAATTGTTTGCTGAACCTAATGCTCAGTGTCCTGAACCCATTGATTGAAATGGATATCTTTTGGTCTTAAGTATTTTTCAGCTGTAAAGACAGACATACATTTTAACATGTTATGTATCTCGGGGTGCAAAAGAGCAAGCACAAGTAGCAAAAATGAAACCTAATTGAAATACAGGTGTCTCAACCTAAGTAAAGCTATTTAAAATCACCAGCAAATGTTACATATAATATCAAAATGAAAACAAGCCTGTGGAAAGAGCTGTGGCGGTTAAAGTTTTAGCACAAATAGAAATAAACAGACAGGAATAGAAAGACTAGGGCATGTACATTAGGAAGGTGCAAATGTTTTACTGCAACTTCTAAACAGGAATTGTGTTTTGATATTTTTTTTTCTGTTTTGTACTAAGTAGTGGGGGGGGAAAAAGTATTCAACTATTTGCTCCAGTTAATTAAATGGAGATGGATGGATTTCACTGAGTCGGCACTTTATTCTAATCTTTGCAAAATGAGAACAGTTCAAACAGCCCTTATTGCACGGTAATCGGCCTGTTCTGCCTGGGCAGCATTCGTTCCCCCTTACTTACAATAATCGGAAGTTGTCAGAGTCAAAACAATTTACAGACACCTTGGTTAAAAAGTAACATGTTATGAATAAACCTTGAGAAAGAAACTGTTTTTTTTTATGTGAAGGTATTTCTGGTCTACAAACAGCCTCAAGCAGGGGAATTGTGTGGCCTTGCAGGTGAAACAGACTGAGTGAAAACATTTATAGTGGGTATATAGCATAAATGAATATATGTAATAAGAGAAACTAATTTTTCCGACCAAAACTATTGTTTCTTTTTAATTTGGTAATATAATGTTTGAACTGGTTAAAGGCTTGTAGTGAGAGTCAGAAGTTTTAAAATGTAGTTTGAAAATTGTGTTTGTGGTTACATTCAAGACCCTAAACTATAACCACAAAGTACAAAGCTCTACATTTTAGATAATTTTTTAGAAAATATCCTTGAGAGTACCAAGCAAGTATTTACATTAATTCCCATTTTATTTTATGGTACAAAATTTTATTAACCTCTACTGTGGTGGAAAAAAAACTCACTAGTAAAGCTCCTTTCACTTGGCTGCCATTTACCCTTGTTTCACCTTGTTCTTTTCATTCTCAGCAGCCTCCTCATCATTATAGAGACCATAAGTTTAAAAGAAAGAGTTCTACCCTCAATCAAAAGGGAAGGATCGGTACAAAACCATCCTTTCAACGAAAACCATTCTGTCCTTTTTTTCCCTTAGCTGCAGAATGAACCATAATGTTTTTGGGCCACCTTTAGCACAAGATGAATGAGTTGTGTTAGTAGAGAAAAGCGAGGAGAGGAGAGGAGAGGAGAGGAGAGGAGAGGAGAGGAGAGGAGAGGAGAGGAGAGGAGAGGAGAGGAGAGGAGAGGAGAGGAGAGGAGAGGAGAGGAGAGGAGCACAGCGCATGGTTGGAAATCTGTGAGATGTCAAGCTCAGCTGATGGATCTGAACTTGGTGATCAGAGATTATCAAAGCAACACATCAGACTTGAGAATGGGGCAACATACTGCAAACCATACTCAGTTTGCAAAGTTAGGACTACACCTAATTGAAAGGTATTTATACCCTTTAACTTTATTTTCACATTAAAAACCAAAACATTTTTTCACTTTTATGTGACATACCAACACAACAACATCTCAACATCCAAAGGAATTAATACTTTTGTTTTTTTTTGCTCGAACAAGTGAAATAATGATCTTTGTGAGTTTCCTAATCATAATCTGTATAAGATGTAGGCTGTTGTTAATTGAAACCAATGAGAATGAGAACACCTTCAAATATTTATAGACTTTGAAATTGAGGCACTAGTGAACACCCTCACCGAGCATCATGAATGTTGTGTGCCTCATTCCTGTGGGGACTTGGATATTTTGGGGATGCTGATGAGCACAGGCAGTGCTCAAGACAGATGGGTGGTAGATGTGTATGAACGTGCCTAATATTCAGATTTTAAATGTGCAAAATGTATGCCTCAAGCCAATGAAAGCACCTGGTAAAAAGCAGATAAGTGAGACGGTATCCAACTTCAGTTCAAAAACCTATTAGGTAGTATTTTTGTCACCTTGTATAATTGCTCATTTTCATCACATTCTCAGGAGAAAAACATCTAACGTTAAAATTTTTAATAAAATAAATTATCTAGTCAAACTTTTTGCTTTTCTTCTCCTTCTCTTGGCTTTTCCCTTTTTTAGGTGTCACTACAGCGAGTCTTCCGTCTCCATCTAACACTTTCTTCTGCATCTCTGTCACACTATCATGTCTTCTTTAATTCCATCCACAAATCTCCTCTTTGGTCTTCTTCTAGTCGTCCACTTGGCAGTTCCACTCTCATCACCCTTTTACAGACATGCACACTATCCTCGTTAACCCAAATTAACGATGCAAAGTGTAATGTTATCTTAAGTTGAAGTTATGCCTAACTGTAGCAAACAGGGGGGCGAGTTAGCAAGTTAGCATGACCACAGATCATTGATGGACCAAGGTTTTGATAAATGTGTTGTAATTGAGCAAGTTTTTTTTTTACTTTATCAGGTTATATTAGCGATGCTTCATACCATCTGGAAACATAGACAGAGAAATGGGATTCTACTCCCCCTGATACGAGGTAAATATTTACTACGTCAGAACTTATTGAAAAAATGTGCCAAAATTTTCTCTTTAGCTTATTAATGGTTTCTTGGGGGAAGAAAAAAAAAAACCAAAGCCAATGTATAAACTTTTTGCACAATTTAGTAAATATGTTCAAATTTTGCTGCTTCCATTAAGTGCAAAAAATTGGTTGATGGTAAGACATCCAGTCTGGCCTTTCTGATTTAATCTCTTAAACATCTGTCATAAACTGACCCTCTGATATCTTCCTTTCTCATCCTCATCACTCACAAAGGGAATCTCAACATCTTCATCTCTGCTACGGTACCTCCGACTATTGGAATGCTTCAAAGCACCGATTTTGGATGAAAAGAAAAAAGAAGGAAATGAGAAACTCAAGGTACATTCCAATGAGATTTAAAGTTTTATTTCAATACTGCATATAGGCATATCCTTGGTTTGCATGATCTCTCTGGGGCTTTGCTGTCCTACATATGGATTCTTCATGCCATGAAACACAACACATAATTAACTGAAGTTCTTGATGTTTGTAATCCCTTTCAGTTCAGTTCAAAACCTTTGTTGTTGTTTTTTTACAGTGTAGACTACCTCATTATGTTGAAATCTCAAATTTAAATTACTGCATACTTAAACTGGAAAAAAGGACCACAAACTATTAAAAAGAACCTCAGGAATTTGAATCCAATATTTTGACTTCTCGCCTTGAACAACAAAATCTACGGTAAGCTGCAGATTTCTATGGATTATGATCACAAACTACTGTACAACCCAAAACAATGATCCACATTCTTTGTACTGATCTGCATGTGAATGCATTGGTTTTTTGTTGTGACCCCAAAAATTGGTAATATAGTGTATCTTAGATATGGTTGATGGAAGATTTCCCCAGAAACAGAAATGTTCGTCAGCATTGTATTGTGTAAAATACAGTGATGGCCGGGGTGTTATAATTTTTTACAATGTTTGAATTTTTTCCCCGATAGTCTTCCAATAAGTAGACCGATGCTGCAAAAGCTCTGCAAAGGTCTGTTGAAACCAAATTTACTTCATAAAAGCAGTCCTACCTGCTCTTCCATTCCTCAGGGGGAACAGCTAGTAAGTGTGTCTGCACAAGCGTGCAGGAGCCAGTTTGACCTTTGACCTGCACAGCCCTCTTTACCGTGTAGGCCTGCAGTGCTTGAAGAAAGTAACTTAGCAAAAGGAGCTATTTATATTTTTAGTATACAATGAGAGCAGTGAAGCTACGTTAAATAGTTTAAATTGATGTAACAATGAACAACTGTAAAAATAAACACTCTTAGTGTGAATGCACAAAAAGAGGAAAATAGGATCAAGAACCTAAAATACTTGTGCCGTTCACTTTAAATTTAATCAACAGTTAACTGAACTTGTAGCTCAGTCTAAATAGTGTCACTCAAATCAACACTTTTTCAAAAAAGCCTTTTTTTCAAACCGTTATTGTCCAATTTTTGCAAGTCTCTGCCCATGGAGACTTACTTTCCTGCTCTTAGGTGGGAGGAGTTGGGCTTGGTATGATCCTCTGCTCCTGTTTTCTAGGTTTGGCTTGTAGTTCTCTTGCTACTTTCAGGAAATCACTTAGTTTTCAAGGTTGAGGTATTTACTCTCTAGTGCTGTTTTTTTTTTCAGTAAAAGGGCAAATTTTGTTTTAAACAAAAAAAAGGATTGCCTAGGGCTTGGACTCATCGGATAATGTGCTTCTAACAGCATGTTATGTTTTCTTTTTTTTTAAGTTAAAACATGATGCTATTATGCAAATTGAAACGTTCTGTTTTTTAATATAATGGGGTTGCAATTTAATGCAGCCATTAGTTTGAACCTTAATTTTAAATCATGACAGCAAACCAAACAAAACACCTTAACCAAGGCTTGATTTCCTCATTTGCTATAGGTCCCTACAATACATTTGGCTGTGGGTGTTTTGTTTTTACTCTTACTGAACTGCAACCTTAATGCTCTGCTCTAGGCTGTTAGTGATGCTCAGCTGCTCCTCAAATTCCAGACAAAGGCTGAAAATCCAATCAGACTCTAGGCTAAACAATAAAGTTTGGGAGGATGGTACATTAGTGAAGAAGTGATATACCAGGAAGATATTAACAGAAATGTGTTTT